GATCTTCTGCTCACCTGGCAAGCTGGCTTCACGTTGTTCTCCAACAAGCTGACACACATTCTTATTGAGCTGGCTCTCTCCTGCCCTTGGTCTGCCACTCCTCTTCCCCCACTCAGTGAAAGAGAGGGAGGGAGGCAGAGAGAGAGAGAGAGAGAGAGAGAGAGAGAGAGAGAGAGTCTGTGTGTGAGTGTGTGTGAGTGTGTGTGAGAGAGAGAGTGTCTGTGAGAGTGTGTGTGTGAGAGAGTGTGTGTGTGAGAGAGGCACTTGCAATTCCCTTCTCTCTCTCTCTCTCTCTCTCTCTCTCTCTCTCTCTCTCTGTGTGTGTGTGTGTGTGTGTGTTTGTGTAAAAAAGAGAGTGGCCTCAAGCTGTTCTCAGACAAGCGGACAAGCTTATTGGGCGGGGCTCCTGCCTTTGCTGCTGCTTCCTGCTTCCTGCACAGACGCAGCAAAGGCAGGAGCCCCGCCCAATAATCTTGTCAGCTTGTCTGAGAACAGCGTGAGGCCACTCTCTTTTTTACACACAGAGAGAGAGAGAGAGAGAGAGAGAGAGAAAGGGAAGGGAAGTGCAAGTGCCTCTCTCTGTCTCTGTCTCTCTCTCTGCAAATGGCAGAGGAGACTGGGAGCCGCAGGAGAAGGCTCAAAGAGCCACATGCGGCTCCAGAGCCAAGGGTTGCTGACCCATGGCCTGGTGCCTAGGGCAGGGGTCGGCAACCATAAACACCAGCGATCATGGTGGTGCAGTAAAGGCTGTTGAGCAGGGGGTCGGACTAGAAGACCTCCAAGGTCCCTTTCAATATTACGCCCATACCCTGGCCCGGGGCCATCGTCACACAGCACACACCAGCAGCCCTGAGCCTCCTCACAACTCAGTCTCAATTTGCTTGGCTCCAGGTTTGCTTGTGGGGGCTGGACACAGTGGCTGTATTCGGACATCTGCTAAAGTGGGATTCGCACGTTCGGGGAATCTGCACGGCTGAGCAGCCCATTTTAGCAACACTGGGAGATTCATATGAAAACATCACTGAACCACTTCTGGGAAGGGGTGACTCTTTTCCAAAGTTGTCCCCATTTCCAGCCTGCTCAATGACACTCCGACACGTTGTGAGAAATATCTCGATTCCTTTTTGTAATGTCGTCTTCCAAACTCACAGGGGAGGACGCCGAATTCCGGCTGATCCTGGTGGGAAAGTCTGGAGGCGGGAAGAGAGCCACGGGCAACACCATCCTTGGCCGGCCTGTGTTCCAGTCCATCCTGGAGCCAAACACCCCCACGGTGAAGTGCAAATCGGGTGAAGGAAGATGGAAGGGCAGGAAGATCTCCGTGGTCGTCACACCCGACATTTTCGATTCTGAAAACCACAGTGAGATTGTGGAAAAGGAGATCAAGGCTTGCATCGAACTCTCCCGGCCTGGCCCCCACGCCCTGATCTTTGTGACCCAGGTGGGACGCTTCACCACCGAAGATGTGACAGCTGCAAAGCGTGTCCGGGATATCTTTGGGGACGAATCCACCAGGCACACGATCGTCCTCTTTACCCGCGAGGAGGAATTGAGAGGGGAATCCCTGCAGCAGTACGTCCGAAATTCCAACAACCGCAATCTGCAGGACCTGATCCAGCGGTGCAGGTACAACTACTGTGGCTTCAACAACAAGGTCGCAGGAGCCGAGCAGAAGAGGCAGGTCTCGTTGCTGATGGAGACGGTGCAGAGAGTCATTTTGGGGAACAGGAGAAGACACTACGTCATCCCGCTGCACAAGGGGCCCAAGGTAGGGGAATCAGTGTGTCTAGAGTAGAGTCAAATGGCACAGTGGAACTGGGGGAGGGATGTGCTCTTTCTGCCCGTTTTACACGAGAGCAAGGGGTTCCCTACTCTCTGGAAGACCCCAATGGGTGGGTGGGACAGCCGAGACCCACATGTTAGGACAGGCAATCAGGAGGGTGGTTAATGGGTGGAGAGCATGTAATCCCCCCCCCCAGAAAGGGGTCGCCCTGCTCTACTTCCCCTTTTTCTCCTCCACCTGTATCATCTGCCATCCCTTCCCTCTGCCCCTCCTTTTCTCTCTTCCTTGGTCCCTTCAGAACATCTGAACCCCTCCTTCCGTTAGCTGGGGGACAGTGGTGGGATTCCAATATGTGAACAACCGGTTCTCTGTGTGGATGCCGCGTCCGGAAGTCCATTCTGGGCCTGGGCAACAAAAAATTAGCTACCGGTTCTGCCGAAGTGGTGCGAACCGGCTGAATCCCACCACTGGCTGGGGGGGCTCCAGAGCATCTTCTGGGCGATGCCTTGAATGGGGTGGTGGACCAGGCTGTGGTTTCTGGGCATGAATGGGGTGGCAGCTGGACCCCTGCCCCACTGGACACGCCGAGGCCTCTGGGAGTCGAGAGCCCTGTCTGACCCGTGTTTCCTTTCCGCTCTTCCAGGCAGCTACGGATGACAAGGCCAAGCCGGGTAAGTGAGGAGGCCACGTCTGGTGTTTGGGGGGGCTGAAGAGTAACAAAGAGGATTCGGAAGCTGGAGGCTAAAACATCGGAAGATCGGGTGCAGGAATTGGGATTGGCCATTCTAGAGAAAAGAAGGAATGGGGGGGGGACTAGATAGCAGGATTCCAGTATTTGGGGGTGCGCCACAAACAGCACTCCTGACTAGCACTGATGATGTTACCTTTATTGGGTCATGAAACGTCTGCAAGAAAACCACCCAGTTCAGGACCACCGACGACCCCCATTCTTCC